TGCAACTGCGCCACGGAGTTATCAACAATCAAGTTGCACTTCACGGGAAGTTAATGACAAGAAAATAAGAAAAAACTTTTTGAAATTTACCAATAATACCAAGATTTAAGTTAATGTCTTTACGCTATAGAAGTAGTTACATTTTTATCATGCTTCTTAATTTCAGAATAAAATTAGATTATACTCTAAACCCGTATTTAAAGGTAATATTTTAAAAATTTTAAGATTCTTGGTAGGTACTAAAAATACTCGTGATTTTGGGTGGGGGGTGGGGGGTAGACATAAACCTCACCACGTGAGGTTATATATTAATATCCTCACGTGATTAATGGATGGCCCCTTAGGTAGTTCGCTTTCCTCATAATATATCAATGACCCACAAAATATTGTGGAGTCATGCAATTAAATATGTGATGGATTTTATCAGTTACACAATGCTAAGTATATTTTTTATGCGATCGCATTATACAAAATAGTATGTAGAGATATTTGCTTAACCTTTTCCCTATCTAATCGGTAGTTATTATGAAACGACCGATGCTTTGGCAGTTCACAAGCCGCTGACACATAAAACCTTGGTAATGAACCTGTTACAAGATAAAAGATATTCTATCTTCAATTTGAATTAATTACGTATACACATCACGATTCAGTCACGATTATTATTAAGAGCCAGCTGCAATAGTCCTCCGGCATATCGCCATGAATGTTTTGGTGAAATACATTAAAAATGATACAACACCGTCTTAATTAAAATGACAGTGATATTATAATGTTTTTTTTTTGTCTTGACATAGTTCTGATAGGTAAATAGGTTTGGTACAGGAGAAACCAACAGTTTAAAAAAAATTAAAAGTACCATTCTATATGACTAGATATTGAATTCTTACTGCTAAGCCAAAGGCCTCCTCCGTAAAAAGGATTTTAGAAATAGGCTCTAAAGCTGACCCTAGTTCAAATTTGCGGACTTCCGAGTGTCTTCGAAATATTTTTGTAATTGTTTGCCTAATTAAAGTTCCTTCACGATCTTTTCGTCGCCGCCTGGCATAGGTAAATAAACATTTAAATAAGGGACCGGTATTTTTACTACAGAACTAGATTAAATGCTAGCGCCCGTCAACAGATCCAGTTTGGTTCGATCGTCAAACAAAACTCAGTCACGCTTTAGAAATTTAAATTGTTTATAGTGCTAATCTTTAACAATGTAGAGGAATACGTTAAGATTTTCGTCGGTGTGGTCATCAGCCGTTTAGCTCAGTGGCTAGAGCGTCAGGCCGCGAATGCCGAAGACGTGGGTTCGATTCCCACAGCGGCGACAACCTTTTCGCACTTTTTCTACATATTTTAATTTCTACATATTTTAATCAGTCACGCTTTCTCAATATTTTTTTAAAACTTCATGTACAAAATATTGTACATCAGCGGACTTAATGCTGACAGCATTTTCTACCACTCAACCTTAGGGTTGTACTATTGTACAGTGGTAATATTGCTATAGTGTAGTTCTCGAAGTATTCAAGAATAAAGGCCCATTTACATGGTGCCAGTTTCTTGCCTGTTGTATACAATTAAATTGAAGCAATAAATGAGTTGCATGGTCTAAACAACAAATGGTCTAAACAATTATTGCGCGCAATTTATTGCATTCAATTATTGCTCTTGTATGTACAAGAAAATGGCATCGTGTAAATGGGCCTTTAGAATTGCAGACTACGTAACCGTGGCTATATCGATACAATTCTTCTGCATGTCACGGTGAGTTTTCACCTATGGCAGTAAAACCACGTCGTTTCGATACTTCGAATAGGTTACTACGCATTGCTATTTTCGGTGTTAAAACATGTGACATTGATTTATGATTTACTTATGCAAAATCAACCCCGGTAGCTTCGTGTCTCCGTCTGTGGGCGCTCGGGTCGACTCAGCATTCGCTAACATTATTGTAACAGTTTTGTTTAACGTTTCTTTTGACAATTTGATGACTGCGTTCAAGATAAAATTTCCGGGGTGCTCGCTTTAAATTTAATACAATCGAGCAACCTGAGTTAATTGCTGGCTTATCACGTGCTCAGCGGCGAAGGAGACACTGTGAGGCAACCTGCATATTTTCTAAAAAAAGTTGCGTAATTTCGTAATAAAAAGTAATTTCGAAGGTAGATATATAAATATATGTGTTTATGTATTAACGAATTTATTAATCGTGGACGTTTCACAATTCACGTCTTTAGCCGAAATACAGTAATGGTGGATTAAAATTGTACAATCGTTTCCGTTTTCGGACTGGTTATCTACACTTATCACTGATTCAATTTTGACCCTTGTTCATGTCATCATGACCAGTCAACGCGTGCCAATATTTGGTACTTAATAAACACGATGATACTTGTCTCGAATTTAAGTATAGAGATTTCGTTTGTGTAAAAGTTACGTGACCTAAGTAATAACGAAAATTAGAAACGAAATATTTTATTTTGAGTGACGTCGAAATAAATCCAATCTTATGTGGTAAGGTAACAAACAGACAAGCGGTTAGCCTGATGTAAAGCGATTACCTCCTCATTGGCATCGACAACACTGGATGGTTTGCAGATACATGACAACCTTTAAAAACAGTGGGCCTAAGTTACCTTATTCACGAGACTGTGGCTTTTACATTATTCTCTTCTTTCCCCCAATAGTTATCACAAAACAATTTGTTTTATTTGTTTTATTGCACACAAGGAAATATAAAGAAAGAAGATACAAGAAATATAGTGTACATACAGGCGTAACAAAATTAGCATGAAGCCGCGAACGAGAATGATTTTTACTAATTCTAATTACCTCAAATTACACGTAAATATTACCATCCACTAAAAGCGATATAATGAACTTCTTCAGAGTATTAACAACGAGTAAGTATTAACAACAGCAATATGTAAATATGCAAATGAAAATGTACTAAATCAATGCTGACTCATTCCGTCGATTCAACTTTAGAGGTCATTGATAAAGTAGGTCTAGTTCATTGAAATATTTTCAAATAAATGCAATGAATAACTACATTCACAGGAGCATACATAACAAATTTGATATTGTGATTCAGACCTAATTTTGAGGCTACCAAAAATATTGATGGGCATGTTATATGCATATATATAAATAATGATTATATGCATTTTAAATTTTTATAGTGCTGAAATCTCTGCACTTAAGATGAAATATTAAAATTTGTAGAAGAAAAAAGGCGAAAAGGCCACACCGACGTAAATATGAACATTTTTATCTAAATTGTTTCATCTATTGTGATGTATACAATAGATTACTAAATTTACCGAAGATTTAAGAATTTAATATTACAGATTTTACATATCTATATATATTACAGATTTTAATTCCGATTTCGATTCCCACAGAGTCGAAAGCAAACTTTTAGAGCAAGAAACTATTCGCTCTTTTTTCTACAAATTTTAACATGATATGCCTTTTGTGATTTCCAACTTTTATAGTTATTCGCATACAGCATTGACAAATATGTACCTTTTAATTATGTGCAGACTTTCCCAAATTGAGGTCTTGGTTATGATGATTCTGTCGTACCGAATATTATCTTTAAAAATCGTTTAAAAATTTTATCGTTAAATTTTTAAATCGATTTTGGCTATAGTTATACTGTTTTTGCATACAAAGCATGTACGATTTCACGGTGTTTTTGTTGTATTTTTTATGTAATTTTCCCTGGCTGATATTTCTGAATATTATTACAGACAAAAAAGTTTAATCAAAGGATGATTTTATCAGTTAAAATTCAATCGCCTGTTCAAATTCAATAACTTTAGGTATTTTAGCAGACACAAAGTTAACAAGTACATATCATTTGATAATAAAAAAATACTGAAGCGCGATAATGAATCATTTGTGTATTTAGGCACAATTATTTTACAAGACCAATTAACATTTACAAAAAACCACAGCAGCTAGCCGAAAGAAATTGTTTTTGGTTTTTTTTTTAGAGTAGTTTTTAGAGTAGATGCGTTGCTAACTTTTACAAAAGTGGGCCTCGGACCAGCCTGCACATTCGTGCAACAGCAGAACATGCGGAAGTTGTTGCGTGGCGCTCCCACAGTTTTCCATCCTATCACACTAACGGCCTTCATAGACATTTAAAACTGTCTAAAGTACTAAAGCCACGGGCTGCTAGTGGTGGTGGTGATTCCCACACATAAAAATTCACAAATTCTACAGATAATTTTGCTGAATCTCTTTTTATACAGGATATAAGAGTATTTAGTGAACACGAAAGCGCGTTATACAACATTGAAAACTGTGAAAGTCGCCGAAAAATCGCATAAACCATTACGCCCTTAAAGATGGTGGACCTGTCCAGCAAAATTTTTTTTTGAAATTTCATTGCTATCTCACAGAGATTTTCTGTGCTGTCGTACACTTTTGGACATAATTACAACGGAGCAGCTTCTGCTGTGACAGGAATGGGCCGGCTGGAAAGAACTTAAGCCTCGCAGAGGATAAGAAACAGAAGTATTTAATACTTTTGCGTTTCACCTCGCAAGCCAGCTAGCCGAGTCCCAAACATGTCATCAGCAACGGAACTGCAACCACACTTCGGTGTTAATGCTGGTGATAAAGTTCTTAATAGATTGGTACCGAATCGAAGTACGGAACTCATTGTATGTGACGTAAAGTCATAGCCATAATATCTGGGCTGTAACTAGGAGGTCATGGTAGATGGCCCATGCCCGTACCTGTTGTGTATTGTTAATGACCATGGGCGGCTGTAATGACTTTATAGTATGTAAATCGAACGCCCATTTCATACTTTCTGTCACAAAAACTTCCATAGAAAAGAAAAACACATTAATTCGCTAAAAAGTCGCGGCGCCTTAGAAGCTGGGGTGTCATGCCTGATGTTTCATAAAGTTATACGTGACGCGTAATGAATAAAAACACATTGGAGGGAAGCGAAAGTTAATTCCGTGGGTTCTCTCGGTATGTATACGTACCTTCATGAAGTCGGGGACGTAGTTGCCCAAACAGAAGGTCATGTCGCCGATATCGTTGTCCCCCGTTGTGACGGCCTCGTTTTGGGTGGTGTTGCAATTGATTGGGGGCATGTCGTCCAACAGGTTGCCCCGGCCGGCCTCATCGTCCGTCTCCATGACGACTCCTGCACAATTGTATGGTATTAAGAATTATGTAATAATAAGTTCATTGGACGAGATTATAAGGAATGTATTGTATACCTTTGGGGATTTTTATCGGAGATGATTAACGAACGGCAACTCGAAATTGTACACGGAAAGGATATGTACTTTGATGAAACTGGCCTTAATATAATAAGGAGTTTAAGGCGAAGTTCATGGGATTGTTGAAATAATATAAAGCGACGATTGAAATTATCGTTTCCGACAAAAACATGTAAACTAAGATGGCGAAAAGAAATGAGAAACCTTCTCTTTTTTTGAAGTCGGTTTAAAACAACCGAAGAAGTTTTACTGATCTATTCAATTTATATAATCTTTATAGGTATATAAAAATGAATCCCTATTTCCCTTGGTCACGCCATCATTCACGCGTGAACGGCTGGACCGATTTAACTTTTTTTTGTTGTGTTTGTTATTATCAGAAGGTTCTTATGAAAGAAAAATATTAAAAAATTGCCCGGAAAATTCTAAAAACAACACTTTTCTATATTCCCGTACAAAAGATTCGTAATAATAGTTAAAAGTCAATTTGAACTTTAATACCATACCATAAAGTTTAAGTGTTAGTGGAAGGGTTCCGGGAAGGCAAAACAAGTGAGTGACTGTGGTAAAATATCACTTGAAATGTAAACGTCTCTGCTGTGCATCACTACATATATATAGTATAAAACAAAGTCGTCCCGCTGTCTGTCTGTCCCTGTATGTTTATGCTTAGATCTTTAAAACTACATGACGGATCTTGATGCTGTTTTTTTATTAGATAGAGTAATTCAAGAGGAAGGTTCATATGTATAAATTGCACCCGTGCGAAGCCGGGGAGGGTCGCTAGTATTTCATATATGGAATCAATTTATTTACGGCCTGAAAAGATTTACAGGTCGTGTCGTACGACCTGTAAACAATTAACAAGAATTAACCAGATTTAATTAGAATGAAAAGATTATCTTCATTAAGTCATCATCAAGTAGCAGCAGTACCTACGAGCTCTTGACGTCAAATGTGCAAAACCATCGTCACCGTCATATTGTGTTTGTGTGAAGATAAAAATCAGAGAGATTCTGGAAACTACGATGGCAGCCCAGGCTGAAACTCCATAGGATTTTAACTGTGCTAGGGCCACGCAAGTCTTCGCTGTTGCACTTATGGGCAGGTCCTTTCGGGAAGGATCAAGGTCTGCGACCTCACAGAAGACCGACGTGAAGTGGAAGTGTTATACTTCTGCATTTCGCCCGGTGTGTGTGGTAACAACTGATAGCCACTTTATTAAAAGCTGGCAATGCACCTGCAACCATACAAGTGTGGCAAATATATGGTCGGCGGTTATCGCTTTAAATTAGGTGAACTGCGAGCTCTCTTGCCATCTTCTTCTGTAAAAAAAACGTTTGAGGGACGAGCTTGATAGACGTCTTATACGACGCTTTCCAGGTGCAGCTGCCTTACATGAGTTGAAAAATACGTTAGTTGAAGAACGGTGACTCATTAAAAAAGTGTATTTTTTATACACTGCGATATCTGCGTATTTTTTGGTGTCACAAAATTTTAAAATCCCCGTTTATTCGTTTAATCGCTTTCTGCGACAGGCAGAGGTTTTACAAGTTTATTTTAAGAACAATGAACTAGATTAAAGAAATCGGAGATCTAACTATTAATATGAACAGAAAAACTGAACCTCAACTAGGTGGAAGTTTGTGTTCATTCATAATGGTTTGGTGTGATGTTACAATACTTTCACTTATCCAATATCTATATTATCTCCATCACTATCAATCTTATGCTGAAAGCTGTCAGGGAAAAAACTGTCAGAGGTCCTTTGAGGTGGGACGATGCCCTTGAACTTTCGCAACATAGATATAATGATTATTAGAATTTTATAATGACGACTAGGTTGAACAATTGTCATGCTTACGGATTCGGCGCCAGGGGCTCGATTCCCTGACGTCACAAGTATTTGCGTGACCGACAGAGAACCGTTACGGATCTGGGTGTTTATTCCAAAGGAGGATTGACATCAGGAAGGCGGCCGGTCGTAAAAATGGCCAATAACGTTTAGTACTCAACAGACTGTGGTAGGGCCGCGCAGCAGTCTTCGCTGTTGCACGAATGGGCTTGAAGAAGACGGGCGTGAAATGGAATTGTTATGCTTCTCCGTTACGTCTCGTCTACGTAATTGACGTGATCGGGGCCCGCTTCATTGAAAAACGGCAGCGCATTTATAACCCTACGGGTATTTTAAATGTCCATGGGGGCGGTTATCACTTAATATCAGGTGAACCGCCGGTTCACTCGCCGTCTTCTTACATAAAAAAGTATGTCTCTACTTATGTACGCACGTAAGAAGTTATGCTGCTTTAGCGTTAAGAAATTAAATGCAATTGGGGATTTATTTATATAACTTGTAATTATTGGTAAATGTCAAATAGTTTCTATTGGGAGCCATGGTAATGGCATGCCATGGCAACCAAGCAGGATGGAATCGGATGCTTCGCAACCAACTGCGTCATGTTTGAGGGTCGATGACTGTAGGGCCACGCCTACCACAGTTATATTATTTTATTATATACTAGCTTTTCGCCCGCTGTGTTGTAGCCCTTAAATATCTTTTTTGTTTAATAAAAAGAATCCTTTGTCCTTTTTAATACCTCTAAGAATATGTGTACAAAGTTTCATGATAATCGGTTGAGTAGTTTTGGCGTGATAGCGTAACAAACAAACTTACATTCACATTTATGATATTAATATATATAGAGTAGGGACATAGTTTACAGAATTATTCCTGTATTCCACATGGGCAGTTGACTAAAGGAATGAAATGTTGATTATCTTTTGTATCCTATGTTCGATAACTTAGATGGCGCCTAAATCAATATAGGTTTGGACATAAATGGTGGCATCTCCCATTATTGGTCAGAAGGGGTATTTAAATAATAATAAAATGATTTATTTAATACCAAAACAAAAATGTTGAAAGATCGATAACATTTTTATTTAGTGAAAAAAAAAAAAAAAAAAACTATTATATATAAAATTTTTGAAACAATATACAACATAGGAACAAAATAGGTTTTGATAGTAAAAGATTTAGCAAAGAAGTGGTTTCGTCGCGTGCTGCAATAAGCGCTACTCTTGTGAATAATATGTTAGAGAGTTTTGTTGAGGGGTTATAGACATTGTGAAGAGCTGCCATACTGTTAATCGATATTGTTCATAGAGTTTATTTGTAGAATAAAGAGTTTTAAAAAACCCACCTTAAGTACTGAAATAGATAGGTCTGTGCAGTGCCACTCCATGTTTAGATACAATAATGTAAGATCGATTGGCAGAAAGCAAGGTACCCCATTCTTATTACTTCTTTGTCTGAAGATTGACGAAGTTGTTAAAATATATATTAGCTTACGTACTTTGTTTGGCAAACTGATAACATGCTCTTTAAGTGGGTTTAGCATAACTATTCCTCGATAAACAATAGATGACACCTTTTCCATTGGTATTTCTGAAGCAATATTGTTGCTATCGCATCCGGCAACCAATGACAAAATCACCATATCGTCCGCTTACCTGAAGATAGCACCGTTTTGTAGATTAAGATTACAGAGATCATTCATGTATACTAGAAAGAGACTGGGGCCCAATACACTACCTTGTGGCACACCATAGTTAATTGCTACTTCAGAACTTATATAATTTTCGACTTTTACGCATTGTTTCTTCCTGCTAGGTAGCATCGTAATAATGATAATTGAAGCTCTCGGATGCGTATTAATCGAACCTTTGATAATAAAATATGAATTGATACTGTGTCAAAAGCTTTTGCTAGATCAAGGAAAATTCGTTTAGATTTTTAACCTTTGTCTAAAATTTTAACAATATTATCTATTTAATTATGAACCGCCTCAGACGTTGAGAGGATCTATCTAAAGCCAAATTGATTTGCCGATAATAGTGTATGATATTCCAAAAAAAGTAGTAAATCTGATGTTAATGATTTTTCTAAAATTTTTGATAAAGCACGAAGGAAGGAAATGGGCCTGTAATTTTTAACATTTTCCTATCCCCAGATTAAAAAATAGTCCAAATAACCGCTTTTTTTATAAGGTCAGGAAAATACCATAAGTAATTGCTAACTTAAAAAATGTAGTTTAGAGGATGGACAATAATGTTTTTGTGTTTTTTTTATCGAGCAGTTGATTTAAGTGAACTAATAAGACGCTCAACCTCCACTTCATCTGTTTCTAGCAACGCGAGAGTTTAAATGAACATCCGGACATGAAAATAGCGGATTGTCTATTTTGTCTGTTGTCTATTGTGTATTAATTTTGTCAGCATGTCTTTTGAGAAAAATTTGTTTCATTTATAGAAGTACATTTAGGATTAGAAAGATTAAGGAAAATATTCTCGGAAGAGGGAGGTTTATTTTTATTCGAAAAATCATAAACAACTTTGCACAATTTACTAGTATTTGTACCTGCCTTAACTAACATCGTCTTTTCGTATTCTCTTGAAATGGATCTTTTTTTTATCTCTATGGTACATACATCTTGATATGCCGCGACTAAGTTAGTTTTTTAGGTGTCCATTAAAGTGACGGATCGATGGTTTAAACGGGCATAAATTCACTTTTGCCCGTTATCGAAAATTTCATCGAAAGGTATATTCATTTTTTTTATACATTCTCTCTATTTGTTTCGATAATACGCCGTTATATATAATACTTAGTAGATTTACCCGTGTAAAAAATGTACGAACAAAATATTCAAAAAGTGTGCGTAAAAACATTTTTAAAACGTTCGTTTTTCTCTTGGTAAGGTTATGAGAATAATCATAGGCAGCTAAGAAAATGATAGTGCCATATTTCGTGCAGTCTAATTTATTTAATCAACATATATTTATGGTTTTGTTTTTTAAATTTTTATAACAAATATTCCAAGTAAAAAAATGCACAGAAATTTATACTAAAT